GTCGAAATTTTCCATGACCATTTTGCATAAATGTGGCTGAATTTCGTTGATGCAGCGTTGAATCTCCTCCTTTAATGCACGGGTGGTTGTGGGCTTGTTGACATAGACCTGTGATTTCAAATAACCCCATAAAAAGAAATCTAATGGTGTTAAATCACACGATCTAGGGGGCGATTTTGGCGATTAACAAAGCCATCAAGGTGAAAATGTGCTTCATCGCTTAGGATGATTTTGCTCGAAAAATCAGCATCCATTTGTTGATGTTCAATAATCCATTTTCACGCTCCATTTTCACTAACCCTAAACTGTCAGCTGTTAAATTGTTTTTTTTTTGGGTTGCCAACACTTTACTGCACAAATGGCGGCAAATTCAAATCTTGCGTTAATTTTGGGACACCCTTTAATTGCGGTTTTTACTGATAGATGTCTTTTAAAAAAACGCGATGACTTTTTACTACACCTAATAAATATATAATAAAAATACATATAATAAAAAGACATAAATTAAACGGTCTGTAATATTTTAAAAAATTAATAATATCTCTAAAAAAAAAAACTTATTGTTGGTTTTGATATTCCGTTTGCAGAATCATGTACAATACAATGCACAATTTATTAATATAATTATATAAAAATATGTTTTTTTACATTTGAATAATATATAAAAAATCGAATAATACATTATATTAGCTTTTAACGTTTTATAAATTGCAAATTTATCTTGTCATTCGCGATTGCATCGACATTGTATTGTACTTTGTATACAATAATTAATAGAAAGCATTGCGACCTGTAACAAGTATGCTTCTTTGTTCATTACATGAAAAGGTTTGTTTATAAAAATTAGGCCAAATACGAGTATGAGAATAATGCTACAAAAAATTTTGATATTTTAGCAATCAGTTTGAGTGTCCTATATAATTATTATTTAGTTATTATTATTATTTAGTTATTATTATTATTTAGATGATCCACCATAATTATTTTTTTCAGATTTATAGATTTAGCTAAATTCTTATAGATACTTCAACAGAACTGTTTTTTTCCTTATATAATGTACATATTTTTTTATGTTTGTAGACAAATAAACGGCCGCGAATTTTAATTATAAGTGTTATCTTTGAATTTATTTATGACACTGCTAACTAAAGTTGCAAGAACAACTTGTATAACTTATTGCATCTTGTCTTAAATTTTTATTTACTTATTACATTTCGATTCCATTAGAAACTATTGTTTTTTTTAATATAAGATCAATGTAGGAGATTTAAAGGAAAATTTAGATATTTTAGATTTTTTGGTGATATTTAATTACGATTGATCTTTATTTTTAATGTAAACGATTGTTAAATTCGCTATCATATTTATAAACTTTGTAATATTTTAAACAATTTTTTGAAATATACTTTCAATATACATAGTGTTCCAAAACGTTCGGATTTTTTTTATCGGCAGATTCTGTAAAACTTTTAAAAACTCTTATACGAAAATGTTGAAAATATAATAGTTTCTAAATTATAAACAATTAAAGTTGGCCAATTGTAGTAGGAGCGAAACATCGTACGGGGTTCTTATACATTGACTCGCTTGTCAAATATTGACATAATTTAAACACTTACTGCAAAATGCTTAAACTACCAAAAGTGGATTTCTTATTTTAAAGCATTAATAAATAAATTATAAATCAACGCTTTAATGAGAGACTGAATCATATCAATTAGGGCACTTTTGCAGTAAGTACTTCAATTTTACATACATGACGATAAAAGACATACAATGATAAAGAGATAATAAGTATCTCATTATGTCAATATATTTAATAAACGAGTCAATGTACAAAGGTCTCGTGATATTCCACCCCTGAACATGCAATTTTCAAATGCTACAATCGATCAATTTTAATATGTAGTTTGTGATTTAAAAACTGTTAAAGCGTCAATATGTTTGTATAAAAATTATAATGTTCCACAAAATCTGTTAAAAAACATTCGAGCATTTTGAGCATTCTAAACATTCTGGTATACATCTTAGAATATAACAAACAATATAAAAAATAAATATATTAAGAAGTGTATAACATATATTTAGAAAATTGAAAATTACGTAACAAAATTTGCTAATATTTAGACAACAAGATTGACATCATACAATTATACAATTATATGTGTATATGAAACATTTTATTAATTTTAAATCTGTAAATACACTTCAATATCATTAAGTTATAACAATAAAAACAATGTCACGACATATTACATAATTTTTTTCATTGTCGCAAGGTATTTGATCCAATACTGATTGTGAGAAAAATGTTTTAGTTATATCAGAGAAGAAGTACAAACAAAATGCATTCTAATCATACTAATTAGAATTCTATAATAGTTACCGTTTAATTTCTGCTTGAACCTCGACTAGAACCTCGACTAGAATATTTGATAACTTTACCTTTCTGATTAAGTTTATCAGATTTCCAATAATCTAATTCATGCAATTAGATTTTTTTCTTATAGATAAACTGATAAATGTTTATGACATTATAATATCGATTTCACGTGCGGTATTCAGCCTAAAGGAAAAAAAATTCGAAATTCCGTCGTTTACTTTCGAATTTACTTCTCGTTTTTTAAATTTAGAACGCGAAAGAAGATGAAGATTAAAAAGATCAGCGCGAGGTCAATGGAAAAATTCTAACAATCTCTCTTATTCTTCTCCTTCTCCAACAAAAGTGTAACAGTACAGAGATTCGCTAGACCAAGGAGACTAGATAGTAGTGCGATGGCGGGAATCGACGAAGACACACTCCTTGAGTTGAGCATACGATCCATGCTCTTAATGAATTTTCTGGGAGTGGTATATCTGAAATCATAGTGCACCTAAAAATGTCTGCAAAAGAAGATATTGTGTAGGAATGCTGCTTGATAAGAATAACTAATATTTTGTGGATCTTTGTTATGTGAGGAACCTTAAAATAAATCGTGGCGTAACAATTTAAACGAAATTTCAGAATTCCGAAGACCGTCTTCGAAACGAAGAGAACATTATATACATGTTTGCGATCGAAAAAGGGCGAATGATCGAACTGGAGCGATGACAAACAATTTTAGAAAATTGCAGGATTACTATGTGCGATTTGTTCGTAAAATAGCATCGTGTATGTCCCATAACACATAAAACTTTTTTTGCGGCAATTTATTAATCTATTAAGCCACAGCAAAGCGACGAAGCATTTTGTGTTTTGTGCATACGCAATGAAATGTAAAAACCAGAGTACATTATATTAAATGTCCCAGAGAGCGGCGGATTCAATGTAAAATTCACGCAACTCAACGCGAGAAAAACGTCCGTTTTGTCATATGAGAATGGCTATCTGATAACAATATTTAAAAAAGGTACGTATTTTTTATCTACATCATTCGACTGAGAAAATACTGTCGGCAAAAGGATAATATTGTAAGCGCATTCATTGATTCATTCAGCGATCTGAATTATTGGTGGCACGCGATAGTAATGCCGGTGATAATGATAATTCGCGATCTCTCAAATTACATGGATTACATCATAAAGTGAATCTCTGGTGTTAATCAACAACCGCGGTGCTGATAAAACGGAGAAGCCGTGCAATCGGATGCCCGTTGCTGCAATTATCCCAATGTGGCGACACGTGGAAAGCAACGCTACCAAGTCGGATGTGGTAAAGATGATTCGCAGGTGACACGTAAAGGTCGAGCCCAATCTGCTCGAAAACGTGCCTCGATGTACCGTGAAAGATTCGACGCTGCATGTGATCCGCCGCGAGTAGATCGATCACCTCATTGGCGCGAAAGGATCCTATGCGTTCTTCTGCTGTTCGAAATGCTATTTGGCTGTGACGCACGAGGTGAGTATTCTGCTCGACAAGATTCATCTTTCTATTATTTGCAACTACTTTTTTAGAAGAATCTGAAAATCGTTCTTTCGATATACATACATATAAAGTAATCGGACTCTACATGGTCTAAACTTTATAATTTTTTCTAACTTTTTGTTGAGTCCAAAATTGAAAATTAATTAAATTTAAAAGAGAAAACATTTCTGAACATTAAAAAGAATGTAAAACATTTTTATGAGTGCAGTGAAAATTTTAAAGAAATATAGCTTTTAGATAATATTGTGTGTGAGTATGTACATATAATGCTTAATATGTGTACTCGTACATATAGTGCTTAATATGATCTAATAAGTATATCTATATGTGTTCCCATTTTTTAGTAAAAAAAATGTTACAAAAATGGAAATAAAAATTGATCCGATGTTACTTTTATAAAATTATAAAACATTATTTTTATAAATTTATAAGTTTATATATTGACACGTAAGAATACACAAAAACTATTTTCCAAACAAGTGACTTATCAATTTATTCACTTATCTACTTATTATGATATTTAACAGGTGAATTAAAATTCGTATTCTAAGTCTAAAATAATAAAAATACCAATAAAAACATTACAATCGATATATGTACACTCAATTCCTTGGTTGATCAAATAAAATGTTTTATTATTTGTTTAATTATTTGGTGCGTCTTGAAGAAA